AGCGGGGAGCGGTAGCCCAATAAAAGCCATGCTTCACTAATGATGTCACGCAAAAGCGTGGCTCTCATTGGGCTACCGCTCGTCGCTCACCGCTGCGCCGCTCTGGTCTGTAAGCTCCTTTAAGCCCATGGCACATACAAAAACATAAGGCCGTAAGACATAATCAGTAAGCGAATTGGCCAATCACAATAGAGACCGTAAGGCCAGTAGCGAATCCAATCTAAAGCGGGGAGCACAGACTTTTGCATAACGCATAACATGTAATGCATAAGAAATTCAATCAATCAGAATTCTTTATTTCATGGAAAGGAAGGAAACGGAGGGCTTTGATTGATACATTTTCTTATGCATTACGTGTTATGCGTTATGCAAGAGTCTGTGCTCCCCGCTTTACGATTTCTTTACTGCTTACGTATTACGGCCTTACGTTTTTGTATGTGCCATGGGCATTATGGGCGCGTTCCACTTAACGTTTGCAACGCTCGCGAGCATCATTTCATCCTTGTTTAATATTTGTAAACGATAAAGGTGCCTTTACATGACAGCGTCAAGCGTAGAGCGTCAAAGCATGCGCAGTGATATGTTTAATAATTTTACTGAAATTGAATTTAATGTACGAGATACATAATAGTGGAATCTTGTAGTTTAGGTAAAGGTGCAATCTACGGGGGTCCTCTCAAAAATCGATAAAATTATAGTAGTTTACACTATATATTGTAAATAAATATAAATTTTCAGCATTATATGTTAGGATAGTAATGTATATCAGAATATAACCTCTCATAATTTATCATTTTGCGTCAAGAAGCTATGCAGAAGATTATTATTACGCAGGAGTCTGGAGATTCAAACTTCTGCGCAGTGATCAGGGCTGCGTTCAGGAATTACGCCCAGATAACTCTAAGCTACAAGTTACGTAACGTATATTATAGCAAATATGCACACTAGAGTTATCTAGTCGTAAGGGCCCTGGCATACAAAAAATTTAAGGCATTAAGACGTAAGCAGTAAGGAAATCAACATGTTGGATTCGCTTACTGCTTATGTTTTATTGCTTAAGTTTTTTTTGTGTGCTATGGCCCTAAGTCCGTATCTACAATAGGTGTTTTAAGCCGTAAGAAATTGACCAATTACAATCGAATTCGAGGAGAATAATCGACTATGATTCGTCCATTTTTTATGACTTAAGGCTTAAAACCCTATTGTAGATCCGGGGTAATTCCTGAACGCAGCCCCGCAGTAATTTTCTGCGCAGATGCTCGACGCTCGCATGTAATGGCACCTTAAAGGTATCTTTTCATACTGATGCTCGACACTCATTGGGTGCATTCAGTACTACAACCGCTCACTGAGCGCTTAGGGTGCTATTACATGAGCGCGGAAACGCGGAAATGCGGAAACGCGTAACCAATCAGAAGCAATCCGCTGTTATGGTTTCACCGATTACTGATTGGTTGCGCGTTTCCGTGTTTCCGCATTCATGTAATATCAGCCTTAGTGAGCACTTGCATCTTATTGGTATATACCGTTAGAACTAAAAATATAGACCAAACAGATACAAGAGCTCAATGAGCGCTCAGTGAGCGGTCGTGGTACTGAATGCATCCATTTTCAGCGTCTAAATAGGTCACATGATCAAATTGACGCTTGACATTCGTCAATTTCTGACACGCGACTTATTTTGATGCCGAAAATGAGCGTTGAGCGTCAGCATGAAAAGGCACCTTAAGCGCTACAGTAGGAGCATATTGGAACATGTTGGAGCATGCGACGCAAACAAACCTTCAGTTAAAAAGAAGTTCAGGCGTTTTTGATACAACCGTACAACCTCTTTGGGAATAGCACTCAAAAAAACGACTAAAGAATTTAATTTGAGAACTTAAAGGTAAAGAAATCGTATGATGAGCGAAGCAAGTGATCCAAGTGACATCGAAACGTCCGATAAACAAGACGATAAAGATATAGACTTTAACGTGGATGATTATTGTCATGAAATTGACAGCGATGACTCCTTTATTGAATTGCCGGAGAATAACGTTAACGTATGTCTAAATACTTTATACAAAATTACTTTATAATATGAATAAATGTAAATGTTTACTTTAAAATCTTCCTATTTTAAATTGTAATAGAGATACTGATTCGATTCCATTTTGTACAAAAACAAGTATTTAAAGTAAATGTTTTCTTTAGCTCACTCCTCTTCAATATTGATGAAGTTAGACCAATTTGACGTGCGTTTTCGCACGAAACAAAGAATCCGTTCGCAGAAAAAGTTCCTTTCATTAAAATCGGAGGTGAGGTACAATTCTAAATAAATACTGACTAAAGTATGTGTAAATAGCGCTGCAGTAAGTCTGTGACAGATTTTCTAACCTCAATAACCGTCAACTTTAAAACTGATTCTACAATGAGTCGATAGTCGGAAATCTTAATGCGGGGTCTACAATAGAAGTCGTAGCGGTCCTAGGGTCTAAAGCATAGAAAATTGACCAATCAGAGTCAATTATTCTTCTCATATTTGATTGTGATTGGTTAATTTTCTACGACTTAAAACTCTACGACCGCTACAACTTCTATTGTAAACCCCTCAGGCATTAAGCCTGATCTACAATTACGTAAACGTAGATGTAAGGTTATGGGAATAGTAGTAGCAGTAAATGTTGTACAACATATTAATCTATAATCGAGTAAAGATTCAATGAACTTTCATCTTCAAATTGAGTATTGCTCACAACACTTTCTCCGTGTTCCACACTAGTAATATAATATATTCGTAATGTAATAAACTCATCAAATAATATATCATAAAATCAACACAATAAAAGATGAAAAAAACATTTTGCACTCATTTCCATACGTCGAGACAAAAAGGACGATAACAATGTAGACACAATGTGACAGCACTGTGATTGATTCACTCTTACATTTTACGCAGTCGTAGTTGTGAAAGATAGAGTTGAACCATTTTTCATAACACACTTTACACAACCGGGAGTAGCAGGTTAAAACTTCGCTTTACAACATTTTACAACCATTTACAACTACGTTTACGCAATTGTAGATCGGACTTAACCAGTTTTAATCTAAATATATAGATGACTATAATTTTTCGCATCTACTAGTTTTTAATTATACAGCGAGTCATTTAATTCGACTAATGGGAAGGAATAAAGTCGAATTTGGTCAGTTTTAAGAAAATCGGTAGTCTTGGACTCAGTTCCACAACTCATGGTTAACTCTTAACTGAGGTTCAACTTATTCATTGTCTCTTTCTAATTCTAGAATTGGAAAGAGATGAAAAACAAGTTGAACTTCGATTAAGAGTTAATTGTGAGTTGTGGAACTGGGCCTTAGTTGTACAAGTTAGTCATTGGCCAACTTTACCGATTTATCGATAAAAAAATTTACTACTGACTACCGACTTATTGTAGAATCAGCTTTATGTTTAATATCTTGATTCGCGGAACCGACCGCTGCAATTTTCTGCCGGATTCTTTCGTTTTGAATAAAACGCGTCGAATGAGCTTAATTTCATTAAAATCAGAGGTGAGGTAGCTATTCTAAATAATTACCACACACACACACACACATATATATATATATGTAATTAGATATCTGTTATATTAAAATATCTGATATATCTAGTTTTGTACAAGCACCATTACCGGAATCGGGGAAGGAAGGGGTGATCTTAAAAAATCATGTTTATAAAAATTTTGTATATTTAGCTACAAATGTTAAAAAAAGTGTCTTAGAGTGACTATCTGCAATATCTTAAGGTAACCCTACATGATGAATGATACTGTCAGTATTACTAAATACTGATAATATTACTGATTATATATAGTTAATATTGATGAATTGACATAGAATACCGACATTGATCTGGATTTTGATTCTCAAGCATCAGTATCGCTTTATTAGAATTCATGTCACAGTACCTATGTCATCAGTGCAATAGATAATGTACGTAAAATTAAAGTGAAATATATTGTACTGATTGTGTAAGATTACAAAAATATTGATGCATATGTCAGTATTATTGATTCAGTATTAATGATCAGTACTATTGACCATGTATGTGTCATCTTTAAACTCGAGACATATAATATTCATTTCTTTGACTTTAAATCTTATATAATATGTGCACTAATATGTTTTTATGATCATTTAAAGAATCCTAAACAGTTCATTTTTAGGTGAATCCCTGACATGGAATATATCATATATGTATATTTATATGTATACAAGGTTGGCAAGTAACGCGTTACTTGTAACGCCGTTACTTTGTTGATCGTTACCTTGTTATAATAACAATTTGATAATGATATTGTGAATTTTTTATGATGGTAAAAACATCAGAGTTAGAAAAGTCAATTGTTACTTATAATGGATTGAAAAAGTCATTCGTTACTGAAAAAAATAACTCCTAATTTGTAACGCGTTACTTTTTAGTAACGAGTAACGTTACGCGTAACGTTACGCGTTACTCGTTATACTTATAATTTTTTCGGTGTAACGCATAATAGTGACAAGTTACTTTTCAAAGTGACTTTTCTAACTTTAGTACAACCTTAGCGTTTAGTTAGTTAGCGTTATCGTCATAAAAAATTGCAACATCGTCATCAAATTGTTTACTATAAAAAGTAACGACAAAGTAACTGAAAAGTAACGTTTGCCAACCCTGTATGTATATTTGTATATATATCTATATATACAGGATGTCCCATTTTAAATAATGCATTAAGATTTCTTGAAAACTATGGGAGATACAGAAAAATGTTTCAAACAAAAGTTGTATGGCTCGGAGGGGGACAGAAGAAAAATCAATTTGCTCTTGACCTGACCTTAACGACGCCATCCAAAGTCAAATCAATAATGGTACTTTCTTATGTCCTTCGAACCATATAACTTTTATTTGAAATATTTTTCTGTATCGACCATAGTTTTCGAGAAATCTAATGCATTATTTAAAATGGGATACCCTGTATATTTGTGCGTGCGTGCGTGCGTGCGTGTGTGTATATAAAGTGTTCAAAAAAGGTCGGAACCCCGGATTTACTTGGGAGGATGACGTATTTGAAAGAAATGTTTCAGACAAAAATTGTAAGGTATAAAAAGATCTATTTACAGATCTTATCAGTTTGACCTTAGGTGGTGTCACCAAAGTCAGGTCAAGGTAAAATCGATTTTTTAAAATGGAGCATACTATTTTTGATGCCAGAATCTAACAGTTGGTGTCAAGAGCTTTTCAAAATACTATAATAAAGTTACTTTTCATTAATTACTTTTCGAATTATAAGGCTTGAAGTTTACAGTATCACCGGTATTACGCAAGGTATCTGACCGACGGCTAAAATCTCTTGAATGTTCAGGATCATGTCCTGGATAACATTTGTTAAGATCAAGGCCATTGGAGATTATTCCTCTTATTTTTGCATTAAAAATTCATTTTTACTGTAATTGTAAACTTCCGAGTAAATTGGGGGTTCCAACCTTTTTTTAATTTCTGTATATAAACATAAGTACAGGATGGTGGAAAGTCAAAATTATAATATATAATTATACACATAAATTTTTAAAAATCTATATAATATAAGGGATTAAAAAGTAAACATTTATCTTTTATACATTAATAATAAATCTATCTAAACTTGGAAGTTTTTGTATAATTTACTTCCTGTATTTAAATATGTAAAATATAAAAGGACAGAAAATAAGAGGCTACGAGTTAAATACTTATAGTCCACACAATAGATGCACAATTATGTTATGTAAAATTATTTTGTGAAAACTATAAAACTGATAAGAAAATTATATATATTTATAAAGCTTATATATATATTTTTTTACAAAGAACTACGTTATGTCAATTTATTCATTACTTTATATTATAAATTTTTTTTACAATTTTATATGTTTATAATTTATGAGGTATTATCAAGTATGTTAGAATATATATAGAATCTATTTGTTTTATTTTAGATAAAGATAAATAATCAACAAGATGGTAAATATGCAGGCCAAGTAATTTCTGGACACAGATTCGACAAGAAATTGATATGTATTAAATATCCAGGAAACATTGTTAATGTCGATAAAGCTATTGAAACATTGGGTGGCATTAGTTCTATATCTATGGTATAATACAAATAATAAATACTATATTCAGTTAGTTTAATTATATTGACTAACTATATATCTGATTATTTAACAGACTGTAGAGGCTCCTAACAGAAGATTAGAACTACGATTTAGATCTGACGATGGTTATAGCAAGCCTACTTGTGGGGATAGACATAGTACAAATGGCTTTTTATTTAGAGTTAGAATAAACAGAAATAAGGTAACACAAGTCAAAAATGTTATCATGGAGCTTATAAAACCAAAATCTATAGATATTGTAGACATAAAAGTTATTCCTGCTAGTAAAGACCTTCATACATTCCCTTGAAAAAAATAAACAAATTAATTCAATATTTGCTATTATAAGGAAAAAAGTATAATCATGAAGGCAATGTTAATGTTGATCATTTTGTTAACCAGGAAAAAAATTGCAGTGTCAACTTTATTCATTGTAATAATAAAGGAGCAGCTGAAAAAAAATATGCTACAGATAATAAAAACCTATATGATACGTATATAGACAAGAGTCTATTGAAAAGGAAAAAGAATCTGTTTATCTTCAACAACAATAAATATGAAAATTTATCTCAAGGAACAGATTACAAAGTGCCACGTTTAAAAATATTGGGAAGAATAGAGACTGAATTCAAATTTACGAGTATATATTGTATATAATATATGCTATACATAAATATGTATATGTATATACAGAATGTCACTATTAAATAGCTATCCCTTTTTTTATTTTCTAAACAAAGATAGCCCTAATAAATATAATCTCTGGTAGAAAAGTTTTGTTGAAATTTTGCAGACATTTTGCTGAAAGTAATATTTTAGAGAAGTTGTTGAAAATTTGTTAAAATTCCGCGTAAATTTCACTGAAAGTGAATGTTTCAGCAAAAATATTAAAAAATCATCGAAATCGAACTAAAATTTCTCCGCAAATTTATTCGAAAATTTCATTAAAATTTGCTCAAATTTCTTTGAAAGAACGGTGACAGTTTAGGGTCAAAATTTGTCTGTAATTGAAACGTATGAAATCGGTCATTCTAGGACGTGCTGAACTTGAATATGAAGCCTAAAATTCTCCAAAGTCCGGGGAACTTTGGAGAATTTTAGGCTTTATATTCAAGTTCAGCACGTCCTAGAATGACCGATTTCATACGTTTAGGCATTAAAATGGGTAACCGTTTAGGAGCACCATGAAATTAATTCCCGAATTCAAGGGGAAACGTTTTTTTATTACAATTTTATTGCATGTATTCTAGAATATGATAATAATCAATAATATTTATTTTAGTAATAAAGCTAGATTAATTAATTTTATTTCTCTAAAATATTTCACTGAAATATTAGCGAAATTTTTCCATCAGAGGGATATCAAATTAAACTGTTCTATTATAAGTACACCTCAGAAAAATTATCCATATTGCAGAACAGATATGCATAATTTTTACATGTAAAATAAATATTTTGATATAATTGTAGCGTCTCTTTTAACGAGTACAATATATAATATATAATATAACAAACGATATATGATTTAACAAAATTTTGAAGTTTTGCAGGGATTACTACCTTTTCAGTTTCGGAGTTGGAACTATATCGCACCCAAAACTGAAAAAGTAATAGTCTACGTAAAACCTTAAACCAAAATATAACTTGTATAATTTGTAATTTTGTTATGTTATATTGTACATATAGTTGTACTCATCAGAATGGACACTACAACTTTTATTATATTAAAATATTTATTTTATCGTGCAAAAATTATGCATATCTCTCCAGTCTTTAACACAGATAATTTTTCTAAGTGATCACTTGGCTTACAATAGTTTAGTTAGAATAGTTTAATTTGATATATTTCTTAAGTTTACCTCTCTTAATTTATGAGATAACAAGGGGTGGTTACTTATATGAGGGACACCCTCTGTATATACGGAGTGATTCAATTTAATCTTAGACAAATATTTCGAAAAATGTAAAAGATATGGAAAAACGTTACAGAGAATAAGTGGAACGATTTCAAGGGAGACGTATTTTGATCACGTTATTTTTTTTCTAGATGGAGGGGTCAAAAAGATACGAAGGTCACTCTACTTTTTTTTAGATGAAATTATATATGATCTTTTAACTTAATACGATTCCTCTAATTATTTTGCATTATAAAAGTATTAAGGTAGAGATATAAAAAATCAATAGTTTACTAGATAATTTATACTTTATTCTGTCTTATTCATATTGACATAAAATATTTAATTTCTCGTAAACTATTAATTTTTTGATAATCATGCCTTAATATTTTTATAAATAGAATAAGAAGATAAATCAATTGGTGTAAAGAAAACATATTTGTTAAAAAAAATATGTAGATAAAATGGATACATATTTATACTTTTGTAAATAAGCAATTATGTGTCTTCACAATTCATCTCATTATTCTGTTCACAAAAGTGTCAAGGTACAATTATAAAAAAATCAATGGTTTTACGAAATATTTAATATTTTGTATCAATATATGCCAAAATAAAGTATAAAATATTTCGTAAACTATTGATTTTTTAATATCTTTATTTTAATGCTTTTATGTGTAAAATAATTAGAGGAATCATTAAATAAAAAAGAAATAGAATAGAATATTTATTCACTTCAGCGTATTTACAAGCCAAGAAGGGGACTTGGTTTACAATTCTCCTTAATTCATTCACTCATCCATACCTTATATACTTTCTTAACTGCTCATCCTTCCTATTCTTGTTATTATCTATCAGTCATCACTTATACTCTACTTATATTTATATACATACAATATACATCCATACATCCAGGTGCTTAAATTCGCATATATTTATAATTCACAGCCATATTTTACGCAGTCATATTAAATTTAAATTTACTTAAACCAAACTAACTTAAATAAATAAATAAATATCTAAAACTAAAATAGATTACACTACACCTTATTTAGTTACTTAGGACGGAATCCCCATAGTCCGGTCTTAATCTCAAGCAATGTCTTAGGTCGGAATCAGACTACGCATTGAAGATTGAGATCGAAGATTGAAAATTGAAATTTGACCAATGAGGGCAAAGGACTTTTAGCTCCTATTATTTTGATTGGTCAAATTTCAATCTTTTAATCTTCAATCTCAATCTTCAATGCTTAGTCTGATTCCGGCCTTAAGATGCTAATACGGCTCTCTGATTGGTTCATGCACTAGCTTAAGACTATCTCGAATCTTAAGCAAAGTTTATGGATTCCGTCCTTAGTTACTTAGCTCAGCCTAGCCTGACCAAACCTTACTCTCTTTATACTCCAAACATTGGAGCCTTACTAAATATTCGTCTCCTTACTTTATTCTTATCCTTACTTTAGCTTATTCCTTATTTATGGACTTATAATACATTACTTTCCTATCTATATGTATATTAATCTCTATATCTTTTCCTACTTTTTTTATTTTTTACTTCCTTCTCTCTATTCTTCCATAATTTTTTCAGCACCCTTCCTTTAAGTTCGTCTAAATCTTCCCCCTATACTTATACTCTCATCTTTATCTATCCCTAACTCTTCTCAAAGCTACTTCTTATCTCCTTATATTCTTTAACATAATGTTTCAAGTATCATCACCTCCATCATAGGAAAGACATCTCCCCTCTTCTTTTCCTAACCAGTATTTATTTTTCTCTTCCATTTAATTAACGCTCTTACATCGTCCCTTCTCCTCAAATAAAATGAAATATAATTCCATTAAAAAAAAATTGAGTGACCTTCGTATCTTTTTGATGTCTCCACTTAAAAAAAAAAAACGTGGCCAAAATATGTCTCCCTTGAAATCGTTCCATTTTTGTCTGAAACATTTTTCTGTATCTTCTATATTTTTCGAAATATTTATCTATTAAGATTAAAATAAATTACCCTGTGCGTGCGTGCGTGCGTATTATGTAAATTATACAAAAAGCACATATTATCTTTATATTAATTTTTTTCATATTACATACTCATATTATATATTAAAATTTAATATCTTTTCTGTTTAGATTTATGTGATTTTCAATATGTGCCAATGACACAGAACAGATCAAATCCAAAAAAATTGGAATGTATATACAGCTTGATTTATCCAACGGACATTCCTCTTTATTCTTGGTTGAAGAACGATGTACCTTATTTTCTACCACCAGCTGTTTTCAGCAGAATGGACACTGTCCAACAGTATATACCCAAAACTGAAATAGATTCAAACTCAGACAATGTAATTGGTACAAACAAAAAATCTAAAGCAGGCTTTCCCAGTTACGTGTACTTTTCTACATCTGAAGTACCTACCGCGGCGCCAAAAGGCATTGAAACAGCTATGAAAGTGAAATTTCTTCAAATCTTCAAACCACACACTTGGATCAAGTACGTCAACTGTTTGAAGAGCGTCCAATCTGGTCAAAAAATGCCATTATGTATAAAACACGATTTACGTCCGAACAATTGAAGATATTATTACCATCAGTAGCATATTATTTTATGACTGGACCATGGAGAATTATGTGGGTAAAACTGGGCTATGATCCAAGAAAGGATGTTAATGCAAGAAAATATCAGACATTGGATTATAGATTAAAAGCTATGCGTAAGTTATATTATTTTTGACTGTCAAAGATATATCTAAATTCTGAAGTATACTTTATTTAATATAAGATTCTATTAAATTAACTCTCATGTGATTTGTAGATGGATTAGGTTCAACTGTCAGATGTAAAAGAAATTATTCAAATTACACATTACCGTATAAATCAGCACCTGTTTCTAAACAGAAACCTGCAGTACTTACTGCTACGTTGAATCAGGAACAAAATTTGAAGAAGGAGCGGCATTTATACGAGAATGTGTACATATACCGGGAAGGTATGGTACCTCCTTCTCGACAAATGTTTTATCAGGTTTGCCAATAGTTTTTTTTATAAAAACAGTACGTTACGAAGGTAAAATATAATAAGTATAATATAATAAGTTTAGGCAAAAAATATTCCAATAAATTATGTAATTGGAAGTAAATAGTTGGAAGTAAAATATTTCATCTTCAAGCTCGAATGATTTTGATTAAATAAAATCTTAAATCAATGTCTTAAACAGTCTAGCTGGATCTTAAGTGCTTATATGATTTTGTGTGAATTTATATACTATATATGTAGTCCTTTACAGATTTTAATGTCACTCAGCATTATTAAAATCGTTCTAACAATAAGATACGAAAAAGCATCAAATTGTTAAATTGTTAGTCAAGTTAACTAGTGATATTACTGCGGTAGTTTAGTAGAGTTTGCGTCTCAAGATCGAAAAATCATTTTGCCGCGCATTTTAAAGGATTACATATGTAGTATACAGGGTGTTTCATGAGGAAGGGTCTTATATCTTGTGGGAGATGATAGTATCGATCATTTTAAACAAAAATGTTCATACGAACATGAGTTCTATTTCGAACGATTTCCGAGATAGGGCGATATAATATGAACACTAGGAAACGTACCACTTTCACGCAATCTCTTGAAAAACACTCTCCGATTCGGAATTCTGCGTGTAGGAAAGCGTCTATGATATTCTTTGACAGCAGCAAAGGCACTACCATCGCAGAAGTCGTAAACATACAGCATATCTGTATATTCGGCATGTGTGAATATGTGTGGCATTTTTAACAACGTTTCTACAACGTTACAAACAACACTGACTGTTGTGTTGATTGTAACGTTGTAAGCGCTTAACAGGTCACAGCGAAAACAGAAAATAAACAGCGACGCCAAAAGAAGTAAGTGAACTGAAAGAAGTGGCAGTATTGCATGCCAAATTCGCCCTATCTCGGAAACCGTTCGAAATAGGATACATGTTCATATGAATATTTTTGCTTAAAATGATCGATACTATAATCTTCCACAAGATATTGATCCTGCCTCGTGAAATCCTGTATATATAAATTCATACAGAATCATATAAGCACTTAAGATCTAGTTAGACCTTAGACAGAGAGAGAGCTGGGATTTAGTTGCACATTTCAATTTTCAGATTGGTTCCTGCCCCTCACTTCACCAACTCGCGCGCAGCCTAAATGCCGATCGGCATTTAGGCTGCGCGCCAGTGATAGGAAATTGGCCCCGCGCAACACGGAGAATCAGCCCCTCCACTTTTGCTCCACTAAGTGACGCCGCGCTCGGCTAACTTCGGCGTTGAGCGAGCGAAGCAGTGATAGCACTGAAATACTGGACAGCAAACTATTTAATTAATCATTTTGATGTATAGTGTATCAATTTAATACATCATTCTTTGAATACATCACTGAAATAAAAATAATTTAATAGAAAGATCATGTTTATGAACGCGGTATATAACTTGCATAGAAAATCGTAAACAATTAATATTTCATAAATTATCGCGTTTTGAAATCATTTTTGCTATTATACGTTAATGGCAGGGGTATATGATTACTAAATTTATTAAAACTTATACGTTATCTAGAATATTCCTTTCTGCCTTACAGATACATGCCGAGATTACCGAGAAAGCATTTTCGCTTTTCAATCACTTGAAAATAAGCAACTAGAGCGAGAAAGGCTATCTGCCTCTCTCGCTGTTTCATTTGCTCTTGGCACGCCAAAGGGGAGAAGGCTAGTCTGCTGTTCAGTATTTCAGTGCTACCGCTACTTCGCTCGCTCAGCGCCGAAGCTGGCCAAGCGCGCGGCGTTACTTGGTGGGGCAAAAGTGAGACTGATTCTCCATGTTGCGCGGGGCTAATTTCCCATCACTGGTAGGGGGGATTTCGACCCTTTTTATTCGGCTAGAGCATTTATCTGTCACATGTTGCCATTACATTTCACTCGATATTTTACCACTTCAATATCAAATATCTTTCCAGAATGACCTATTACTTTTCTGTGATCAATAAAATCGTAATTTTTTAAACTATTATAATTTCGTTTTTGAGAAAAGTCTATGGTAAGATTTGTATGCAATTAATCAAAGAAGCGTCTGCGAGCCTTATATGTTACTAACAAGGGAACCTCGCGAGGTGTCAAATTCTGATTTTAATGAAACTTTGTGAACTTGTAGCTTATATAATATAACTTGTAGCTTATATAAAGAGATGAATTTAGAAAATATCAGTTGCGGCGAAAAACGGTTTGAAGGGGTGAAATCAAATTCACTAAAATCAGAATTGGATATCTCGCGAGGTTCTCTTGTAAGTTATACGTGAAAAGTTATATTTTCAACTTTTTTTTCCTCTCTTATTTCATCGATGACTTACCGTAGAATTTTGCACACGTCAATTTCGGTACTTCAACTTCATTATATAGAAAAATTAGACATTTTTATGGTAACTCGATTTACTAAAAAATCACTTTAAAATACAAAGAACGTTTTTTTTTCTTTAATATTTATTGCCGGCTGTTGTTATCTCCATTTATCTGAAATTAGATCTAAAATCTTATGTTTGCGATTCTTGGTAAGATTTGTTTTCTGTGGCGGAACTAGTGTATGCAGTGGTGCCAGATTCTGGCTTGCGTTACCAACGCGTAGCGAGTGGTGGGGGAAGAGTGGGAGTAGTTGCCGATAGCTACAGCCAAGAAGACTAGAACCAGGAGAGTCAACTCGTGCCAATAGCGGTAGTGGGGGTGAGGCAAAAAGTGGCGACGGATAACTTCCCCCACTCTTGCGCTTCATTAGTCCTCTCTGTCGCTCTATATAGTTGTCGCTCTATCGTTCTATAATCGTCACTTTGTCGCTCTTATATCGAACTTTCACACAATGAACAGTGCCGCTGCACATCGTGTGAATAGCCGCGGACGTTTTTTGACTCACCCCCACCACGCGAGTTGACTCTCCTGGGGTGCGTTCCAAAACTCGACTATCAACTCCGAGTATCATTTATCCTTGTTCTTCACCGAATGTTGAACAAGGATAAAAGATACTCGGAGTTGATAGAGTCGAGTTTTGGAACGCACCCCTGGTCTCTAGTCTTCTTGGCTACAGCTATAGGAAACTACCCCCACTCTTCCCCCACCACGCGCTACGCGTTGATGGCGCAAGCCAGAATCTGACACCACTGAGTGTACGTTACACTTTTGGAATCTCACTTAAAGTGAGATAGGTATATGTCTGATATTTGTCGAAAGTGAGAAAGAGAGTTCTAGTGCAGTCTAGTGAAGGAACAGAAAACAGACCATTGAAATAGCTGTAAGATCTCGGACAGAGAAAAAAAATTAACAAATCACATTTGAGCAATTCGACCAATTGATCAGTGCGATTTATTAGTTTTTTCTCCATCCAAGATCTCGAGGTTTGTTCGCGTCGTATGCTCCAACATGTTCCAACATGCTCTTTACCATAGCTCTTACTCACTCCAATGCGCTTGATAGAGTGAGTAGGAGCTATGGCAGGAGCATGTTGGAACATGTTGGAGTTTGCGATGCGAAGAAACCTTCGGAGTGATGTTTTAGAACTTCTAGTTCGAATACAACTTTCATTCTCAAATAATCTAAAACATTTCTGGTAAATTTAAAATATAGCTTTGAAATTAATCGTATTCGATTTGTTCTCGATTCTAAGCACTATTATAAACTATTTTTCTCCTCTTTTGTTATTAGTATTGTGACGTCTTAGTAGCAGAAATACAGGAAATGTTGGCAAAACTCCCTGATCCTTTACCTGGTATAAGATGTCATGAAAAGAGAGGATGGCTGCCAACTGATTTTGACGTACAGTGCAGAGAAATTTTAAATAAACAAGTACGAGCTGTTTTGAGAAAAAGGATGAATATTCCTGAGGATCGTACGTGTCAATATCAGTATGTTAAAGACAAATTTATTGATGATAAAAAAACTTACATTTTTATTACAGATCCAACATCGCTTCCACGAAAACGGAAATATGGCATTAAATTAAAATATAATAAAATGATTAATAAAAAAACAAAAAAGAATGCAACAAATTCTACGGAAATTTAGGCTAATATTTAAAGTATTACGTTTATTTCGAAATTAACAACGGAATATAACTAATAATGAAAGTTCTAGAGCTTGAATCTAAGCAATCAAAGTTATAATTATGTAAAAAAAAATTTCTGAAATATATATATATATATATATTGCTCTTTTGAAAATATTAAAATATCATATTCTAATGCTTAACATTTGTTTATAAAGCATTAGTCCCTGAGAAAAGATGTATTATTTCTGACTTAATTTTAACAAGGAGAGATTCACATAGGTATGTATGGTATTTGACGGATTTTGATCAGTTTTTGCGTGGTTATTCTGGGGCTCCAAAAAATTTTCCCTATAAAGCAGTAAATTGCACATCTATGTATTTTTCGAGAAAATCATGATTTGTGATTTTAGGTCATAACGACAGATCGCTTTTAAACCGGGAGGAATCAATAAATATTTACAAAACAACTAATTTTTATGTATATATACAGGGTCTATCAAAAGTGTGGAAACCTTTAATATTTTGGAAACTAAATATTCTTGAGAAAAATGTTTCAAACAGAAGTTGTAGTGTTTAAAAAATCTATTTACTGATCATATTGGTTTGACCTTGGATGGCGTCGCCAAGGTCAAATCAAGGTCACATCGATTTTTTAAAATGGAACCTTATTTTTTATTCCAGAATCTAATAGTTGGTGTCAAGAGCTTTTCAAAATACTACAATAAAATTATTTTTCATAAAGTACTTTTCGAGTTATAAGGCTTGAAGGTTACAGTACCGCCGACATTAGCATTACTCAAGGTATCCGACCGACGGCTAAAATCTCTTGAATGTTGTTCAGGATCATGTCCTGGATAACATTTGTCAAGATCAAAGCCATTGAAGGTTGTACCTCTTATTTTCATTTTTACGTAAAAATGAATTTGTAGTGCAAAAATGAAAATAAGAGGAATAATCTCCAATGGTCTATTAAAATAAAAGTTTTACAGCTTGTAAATTGAAAATAAGCATGAGAATAAGCGGAATTCAGCTTACATGAAAAAACACTAAGTTTGTGGTCGTTCTACAATGTGTTCTTTGTTTTCTGTTTCTTGCTTTTTACTTTTTGCTTTTTTTCTCTTTGTGATTGTTTTATCGACAATTATATTTCTTGATATGTGTTTTCTGTTTCTTCTGAAGTTCGTTAATGTTTATTTCGAGCAACAGAAAACGAAATATATAAGATATATATATATATATATATAAGGGATAAGAAGCAAATAGCAAGAAACAGGAAACAACAAGCACATTGTAGAATAAGCTTTAAGATTCAAAGCGTAGAAAAAAATATTTCTCCTTAAACAAAATTACATATTTTGCAAGGACTCGGAAAAGAATTCCTCTTCTTCTTGTTTATTGGCTCCAAATATAGAAGGGAGGCAATACGACCAGATCACGTCTTATAGATTGCCAGTAGTCGTTGAAAGTGTTGCATAATATCCCTGGAAAACATGGCACCAAATGATAATATAAATTACCAACCGTATCGAAGCTAATGAAATTAAGCTCTGGTCCACGCGGTAGGAAGGACTAGAGACTCTCTAGTAGAGTCGCGACACGAGACGATTTGACCCGACTTTTGTATGCAGGGTAGTAGTTTCAACAAAATCGATAATAGAGAGAGAAATAACAGAGATAGAAACGCAGCGTTAAAGTTAGACAGAGATACTAATATATTTCTTTCTCTGCTATCGATTTTATTGAAACTATTACCTTGCATACAAAAATCGGCTCAAATCGTCTCGTGTCGTGACTAGGGTTGATGATTTGGACCGGGTAATGAGATACCCGGATACTCGGGAGAAGGAACAAACCCCCCTTCCCCTCTAACACGGACCCCGGCGACGCGCTTCCTCCTCCCTCGGACCTAGCATCTGTGTGCACTTCCCCCTCCCTGACCCCCTCACACACACATACATACCGCATATACGTACACGCACTAATACATGGGTTAGAACCGGCCTATCTTTACTACTTGCAATTAAAGTAGAACAACTCACGCTAACATCAAAATGACATTAAATTGAATCATGATTGATAAAAAAATGACTTTTAGTAAACATTTTGGAGCCATTTTAACATTATAATGATTTTTTATTCTGTTAAAATGTTTTTCAATTGATTTTATATGATTTTAGAAACATCTGTTAGAACATTTCATATGACATATTGTATTATATACTTTCAGAATTGTTGCACGTGAGATATGAAAGGTTGAAACATTTCTGAAAATTTTCCGTAACAATCGGTGCTGTATGGGATATGATTTTAAGATACTTATTTAACATTTTTGTCATAATTACTTTATTTCAATTCACTTTAATATACACATGCAGTATAAGTAATTCATCGCTTTGTTTTGAAAATTTATTGTATACTTTGTCTACTATTTGCGTATTATTTATAATGTAAAGTTCTTATAAGACACCGAACATGTGATAGCAATTTATCAATTCTCTGTCATACATTCATAAAATAGACGCAAATATTTATTTTCAGCCATCATGCGAAAATTTTTTTAAAAAAGAAAATCCTTGTAAATCATTGTTTAAAAGGTGCTAAAAATTTGAAAAGTAATTGATTTAAGATAATTAAAAAGTGTAGAATTCAAAAATATCAAGCATTTTGTGATCACTTTTGCAGTTTATTGTAAAATTTGTTCCAAAGTTCGAAAGGACCCGTGTCCAAATCGGACAGTACAGTAGATAACTTATAGGCCTGGTTGTAGTACTGGTGATCGGCTGACCAGATCTGGTCCAAGGAATTAAATCAGTAAAATATCATGAGTCTGATGACTCAGATTAGTTGAGTTTTATTGATTTCAATTTTAATAATATAAACTGTCAGTAATTTTTTTTCTGAAAAAATTTTTATCTTTGTCAAATTGCTCGTTTTTATTCAATACTAACAAGTAAAGTAAGAAAGATATTTTAAAATATTTTAAAATTCTATGTAAAAATCCATAAAAATAAGAGTTTTCGATTTGAACCAGGGGATAGTTCGATTTGGAACCATTGGTTCCAAATCGGACTGGAAAAAACGTTTTTACATTTTCCATTATAGATCAATACAGGTAAGAGATACGTCAAAATAGTCTCAAGCAAAAATGAAGGGAATTAAATCATCTTTCCAATGGCACCTTCGGTTTTATGATCGGACTTTATTTACACCTTATAGAGAGCAAAAACTGCAAATAGGTCCGATTTAGACCACTCTCCCCTACACTAATATTATGTGCATACCTCAAATATTGAATTAGTAATTTAAAGATATTAAAATTAGTAAGGTTAAAATCTTTTAATATTGTATTATTCAGGATTATGACCTTGGTAACATGTCAAGATCAAGACAATTAGCCCTAAACATGATTTTATCAAATTGAAAAAACAATGTAAAAATTATAAAATTGAGTAAATTTATTAGGTGTTGACTAATAAAATTATAAATATTCTAGTGAGCTTGTTCATTTTTTGTGTCTTTTAATTCTCGTTTCAAAATACACAATCAAATCTTTAAATTTTCAAAATAATTTCATTTAAAAAAAAAGGTTCAACCAAATCATTTTTCTCGCATGCATTATTTCGACATGTAATGTACGATATCTATTTGTTAATGCCTTTAAAATAATTAATTTTGGTTATATTGAAATTTAAAAGTAATACGAATATAAGTATTCGAATATAGACGGGAATTGTTAAAACATGCCGGACCAATCAAAATGCGGCTTTCTAATTAGAGGGTCTCTAAACATTGTCCTATATATACATAACTTCTAGTATTATGTGTCACACAATGTTTCATGATGTTCTTTGTTTTCTTCGATTTGTGTGTTTCGGTAAGTTATTATTTCAGAAAATCACAAACGATGAGCCGGATAATCAGTATACCAGCTGAAAGCTCCATTGGAGCTGGTATGTCCTCCGAAATCAACATAGTCCAGGACATGTGCTGCCAATCGCTCGGAATGCTGTATCTCGGAATCATCTTGATGGGAAACGCTTGATACAGCAACTGGTACATACGCCTCCATTTGTTTTGTTACTCTTGATAACGAAGGTGCGATCGAATTCACCTCGATGACGTCGATACTATCGACGGGAATAGCGATATAACGTCGATCTCCTAATACACTGCAAACGGCGCATAGCAACGTCAACACAATATCCTGGGAAAAAAAAAAAAAAAAAAAAGATTTTATTTAATGAGCCGGAAGCCTATATATTAATGGGCTATTTATTACCTATTTACTGTCTATAGACCGTCTATCGATTGGATATTTATTGGTTAACAACGAACATTCTATTCTTTTTATCACTCTGTTATGAGTATGTTCGAAGAGACACTATTATGTCATTCCATCTTATTATCATTCATTAGATGTAAAACAAGGATAAACAAATAGCACTAATAGCGTCTTCCCGATAGCAGCCTATATGTATAGATTTTGTTCGGAAAACATTTACATTAATACGTTATCAAGTGGTAGTATATATCAATTTCATTCGCGAATGTAGATAATATAATTCTCTTTCTTTCATATTTAATGATTTTGAAATCAAAAGCAACCATATTAAAAATAAAAATAATTTATATATCTTGAAGGACTTGATCAAAGAATTTATTAAATTATTTTATTAAATAACCGACCAATCAACGTTCTACCAACTGAAAATGATTTAATTCGATTCCTCATATTATTCTGCGAAAATATATCTATACACACTTAATTTTTTTATGTGGTCGTTGAAAAGTTACAAGCAATTTTTTAATTAATGCTTGAAAAATCTACATTTCGAATAAAAATTCTTAAAAAATTATATAAGTTTAATTAGATCAAAATGAATACTTTTTGTGTGTTTCTTAGATTTTTTTAAAACAGTAGTTTTCAAGATAAAAAAATGTCTAAATTTGAAACATAATTACATTTATGATTTTTTTTTCACAAACTGATCATTCGATAAGTGTGAATAAAAAAATGAAAATATTCGTCCAATCTTAAACTATGATGAGAATTTTATTTTATTTTGGGCTGTACTATTATTGACAGCAGTGGTGCAGTCTTATATAAAAATAAAAGTACCCTGGCGGTGCTTCGAACACAGGTTTACCAGATTTTCCAAGCATCAATCCGCAACATGGGGAATGAACGAGTAAAAGTTCGGTACTTCAACTTCATTATATGAAAAAATTAGACAATTTTATGGTATAACTTAATTTACTAAAGAACCACCTTAATTATTGATTTATTGGTTTTTCAACGATAATTAAAAGTAAATTTTTTTAATATAAGAAAAGAACACAAATGAAAACGAAAATGAAAACTAATTCCGAAATTTGTGAAATATATTTATTAATTATTTTTTTATTACTAAAAAACAAAGTGATCGAAGTTCATACGAATGCAATTTAATTCGATGTAAAGAGGTAAATAAAATGATTATTATACAATAAATTTGTTATTTACCAAATTATTCATCATCCTTGTGATGAACCGAAAGTAAACAGGAATTCAATTCGTTAAACTAAAGAGAGGAAATCCGTCGTTGCAGTTTTATACATTTCGCTTCACCGCAGCTTTCTAATCTTTGACATGATACGACAATTCTGGAAACTTCTTGCTCTATGTTTATCCCATCGCCAGTCAATTGTCGCGCTATGCTGGCACGACCGCGATTTATTAAAACATACAGCGAAGTACTCGAAAAAAATTGTTATATCCTTCTTCTTAAGTTACGCCCCAATACTTTCGATCTTCTTTCAACTTTCGATTATTCTTTTCTTTCTCGCACATCATTCTTCCCATAATTCGTCTTAGCTCGCTTGTTAATTCAGCGCTTGACGATTTAATAACTTCAACAGTAAATTTTTAAAAATAATTTTATTTTTCTATTTACATTTTTAAGTGGACAAAATATTTATTATTTTCATCGTTATACATTTGTTTCTATTTGAAACTTATAACTATATGTATACATTATAAAAAGTATATCAATATCTTTTCTTATTATATTTCAACGTCACTTAAACGACATGAGCAGATAAAACTTACGTAATAATTAATAAAAGAAAATTGAACCGTAGTATTATACCCAAAGAGTTACTAATTTAATTTGTTTTACATCCTTAAAAAATATCTAACAAAAATTATTTCATTGTGTTATAATTTAATTATTCATTCATTTCGCATACTTATTTTCATATGTTACCATAAGTTTAAAAAAAGATACAAAAATCACATACGTATTGTCACACATAATAATCTTAAGATTTCTGTCTACTCACTGCAACCATCTTGGATTATAACGTTAAAAAATGTGTAACGAAAAATTTGTAGTGAGAAAAATACAAAAAAATTTGTAATGAGAAAAATACAAAAAAAGAATACAAAAAACATTTTAAAATATTCTTGCAGACTATATATTAAAATGTATCTTTAATAAAATGAGCCGTTTATTTTGAAAGTGACCTAAGTCCATTTATTTTTAAATTGAGATATTTAAGAGTTTGCGTTTCAATAAAATTAAAAATATACGTATAGGATACCAACATGTCACACTGCTTAAGTGTATCTAAGAGAGTTAAATTTACAATTCCTATTAAAATAATAGCAATTATTAAGTGAATAATATGTGTTTTCTTACTACAAATGGAGTTAAGCCACTTTCAAAATTAACAACTAGATTTGTTATAAAATTTGAAAGAGCCCAAGTCCATTCGACAATTTAAAATGCTTCAAATTGAAAAAACAATACTCAATTTATTTTATATTATTTCTTTACAACACTTCAAAAACACAATTTATGCAATTCAGGAAATCTTCTAACTATATAAATTACATAACAATTTACTGCTCATCTACATTTTGTGTATGCGGGAGGGATTTGAAGAAGTCATGGTGCTCCGGTAGTATATATCGTAGTAAGTCCATCATGTCCTTATTTCGCTGTTGAAATTTGTCTTATATTTTTATAAAGTGGTGTCAATACAATATTTTCGAATTTTCTTGGTCTACCCCGACGTGGTAATAAATCCAGGATTTTAAACTCTGCATTCTCATCCATTGATATCTTATAGAAAATTTTATATGGTTCATTTCTCAAAAAACGCATCCAGCATATTTTTAACCAATTTATTGTTTCTCCGTTAGAATTCTTTACCCTTTTAAAAACTGCGTCCTCCAAAAATCTTGTTGATATGAAATCCTCTTGTTTCATTTCATTTAGAATAAAGTTATTACCTTTCCGGCACTTTTTGATAACATTATAATAATCTTGGGGGACAAACAGTAAATTATTTTTCTTTAATGACATTTCTACGACGCCAAAATCTCTATCATTCGGTAAAAATGAATGTCCTAATACTAAAAATTTGTGGTCTATGATTTCCACATTATAATAGATTGGACTTAGGCCACTTTCAAAGTAATGTTTTTAATTATTGAAATAATTGCGAAAATTTATGTGTCAGAAATTATCGTATACTCTGAATATACTTAACCGCAAAATGTTGTTTATGACAGCTAACTTCAAGTTGTACACGCTAGTACAGTCAACAACAAAAAATTGACAAATGGACTTAGGCCACTTTCAAAATAAACGGCTCAAATATTATTTGTAATTGATAGAATAGATTTGTAAAATATAACGAAAGTTCCCCTTGTAATCAATAAATAATAATGCCTAACAAGAAAATGCAATAACTTATATAACAGTTGTCGAACTGAAATATAATAATTTTATTCTATTCCGGAATAAAAAATTTTCATCATATTTTATAAGCATCACCCAATTGCTTCCGTGTATCGTTTTATCCTTTTTGTTCACCCATATTAAATAGTATAGATATAATATATTAAAAATGATAAGATATTAAAAAGGATAAGATGATATACGGAGACACTCGGGTGATGTTTCCGAACGCAGCCCTGGTATGGCCTACCACATCCTTAACCACATACACACCCCTACCTTTCACCACCCCCACCCCCACACTATCCCCGCCCTCATTTTATACACCTTAATACATCTCGGAGAGCGTCCCGATTTTTTTTAACACAATCAAACGCATCCTTACGACTCATGCACATTATCACCTGTACCCTCACTACTCACTACTCTCTAACTCCCATTTCAAACATCTCAATGAATCCGGAAACGTCCCAACATAGTCAAATACATCTTTATTGTAATTGGTCAATTTTTTACGGCTTAAGGCTTAAAATATCTATTGTAGATCTAAAGTAATGAAATACTTTAGAGCTCACTCCGTTAACTGAGTCAACAATGTTGGTGGTTGGAGTATGTTTATGTTTACGACACTGGAGCGGTCGAAACATGGCGGCGTAGGGAGTGATGGTAGGGGTCCGATCTGGTGGTGGGGGTTCGATGTCGCTTCTCTTTATATATAGGACTCTAGTTTCGAGAAGTATTAAAGTATCCAAAAATGAAGTGGGGATGGGAGTAAGGTAGGGGTGTATATGTGGGTGGTTAAGGATGTGGATAGGTCATACCAGGAAGTGTCAGCATGTATCAAAGTCTCTGTAGTAGGTGAGAGGGGGATGGGAGGGATTCGGATAAATAGCGAAAATGTTGTTGGGTATGGGTGTGGAGGGTGCTTGGGAGTGTGTGAGCGTATTCGAGCATTAATTATCGATTTATAATCGACACGAATCGTAGTGTTCGCGGACACTTTGACGACGTTTCTTAATTTTATTTTACCCTGTTTTTACAGAGAAATTGAAATATCTCCCTTAATATTCATTGGAGAAAAAAAAAATAAAGACACTTTCATTACATAATGGAACCTTGTGCTATCGATTGAGCCTGTTAAAAATTTCGTCCGCCTAGCCGTTTCTTAGATATGAACATAATGTTCCCGGTCAACTCGACGGGTCGGGTAGAGATACACTTATAGCGAATTCGATTGGACGCACTCAGTGCGCACTGGTGCATATTAAAGTCATTGTATACTAATTTAATGTATAAAAATGAAATGCAAATATTTCGAATTATGAAATACATATTTTACCTAATAGTACAATAAAATGTATAAAGTATTTCACGATTTAATCGATTTCTATGTTTATTTATAAACATATCTTTACATTATTTTGTGTACGACGGCTTTAATGTGTACCTTCCAATCGAATTCGCCATTAGTAGTGTTTCTTGCCGTCCAATATGGGCGCGTATTTGGCATGAGACACTACCGTGTCTCTTGAACCATAGTCTATATACATTTTGTTAATGATAGGAATTAAACTTTAACTATCTAATGATGTGAAAAATGTTATACTTCTAACGTCGTGAGTCCACTGGATCCTTATTTTTTAAGATTATACGAAGTAAAATTCTTTAATCTTGAAAACTTTCTTATTATATCTTTTTGACGTTTGGATTCATCATTTATCTATTTTTAATAAAAGAGTAATATAGATTTATAAAAAAAATTTAATATGGGACTAATGGACTCACGATCAGTTAAGGATTAAAAAAATAAAATGTAATTATTCTTGAAAAAGTTTTCTAATCGAGTTGACCAAAGAAATCATTTATGCAATGTACATGAAGTAAACAGAACTAAAATATTCGCAGCGTGATATTTTACTGCAAAATAATAGGACAAATACAGTAACATGCGAATATTGTTAAAGACAATTAAGATTATGTAAATAAAGTTATTAAATATAAAGTACTTTACCTGTTTCATTCACCACCTCATATAAAACCTGGGTCCCGTGCTCTATTATATGCTGGTGTTCTTCTAATATGACTTTTTTTAAATTCATATTGATGTTGTTCAGCTTGTTAGAAAGCTTGTCACCAGTGGGATCCTACCTGCACGGTCACAGTGTTGACTCCTTGGATCTCGACAGTGTCGCACTGGTGTTCCACTGAGAAAGGTTAGTACTGGCGCGGTCTAGTGTTGCACTTGTACAGTTTAGTGCAACACGAGTTCAGTGTCAGTGTAAGTCGACCGAATTCGCTATTATATGTGTCTACGGGAACATAATTTATTCTAATCAATTTCTGCAACCGTGAATGCCCTATGGAGCTTTGATGACCGCGTCCAATCAGAGGAGAGCGGATGCAGTTTGCCATTCTCTCCCTGTGAGGCTCTCTAGGGGTGCGTTCCGCATGAAGCGCATGATGCATCATTTGTCTTTGTTGTTTACTAATTAATAAAAAAAGATAAAACAATACATCATGCGTTTCATGCGTAACTCGGAACGCACTCTAGGAATCGCCCATCTCTAGCAAGAAGTGCACATAATAATAAACAAACGTAACATAAAGAAACATAATTAACGCTACAGCGCCACAGCAGCGAGTGGAATGACCTTCTGACTGGCTGCATGAACAAATATCAAATTGGGAGTCTCTAGAAGATAAAAGATTTAGTAATAAGTTGTCTACAAAAAATACAACTGTCAGAGATTATAATATAAGTAAGTTCGATATTTTAATATCAAAGAATTCAAGGTTTTCAAAAAAGTTTTTGACAAAAAGAAAATTATATAGCTTTGAGATCAAGTTTTCTTTATTTTCTGGTTTTTGTTACAATAAATAGTGATGGAGATTGACATCTCATCATTTTTGCATTAATATTTGACTAAATATTCACGGATCTAAAAATCTATCGATGGAACATATCAATCTTTATCGTTGTTAGGTCGGAATCAGACTAGGCATTAAAGATTGAGATTGAAGATTGAAAGATTGAAATTTAACCAATCGAAACGAAAGGAGCTAAAATTTCTTTGTCCTTATTGGTCAAATTTCAATTTTCAATCTTCAACCTCAATCTTCAATGCCTAGTCTGATTCCGGCCTTAGAATAAACCAAAAAATGTTGAATTCATCGATAAGACAATAGGTATAGTCTCAGGATATGATCATATTTGTATTTATACAGGCAAGTGTAGTGTTTACACTTTACATACACGTGTCTTTTTTAAAATGTACAGGTATATATAAAATACATATACTATACGTACATATACATAAAATACATATACGTACACTAAAACCATTTAATCATCGAAAGTTCATAAGCAACGTAAAGATATTAAATTAATAACAAATTTATTAATTTAATTAAGTATTTGAGGCTTCTCTCTCTCTGAGTAGTCGCTGCGGTCATATTTAATTATGACGTCATAAATAAAAAATAACATTAAGTTTTTTGTCATTTGTAAATAAAGAAAATTTAGATAAAACAAAATAATGATATCACTTTAAAATACTCGTAAAAATAGAAGAAAGCTTTCTTTAGCTTCCTTGACATTATTGT